TTTAATATCAGTTAATTAGTAAACTAATATTATACATGCATTCTTGTATGACTGGGTTAGTAGTGTTGGGAATAAAAGGGGTAACCCCTCGCTAATTTCAAAGGAAACCACTCCAATTGGAAGGAATCCGGGGGACTAAAGAAATTCGACACCCAGAAAAGTCAAAAAATGAAAAAATGGGAGTGTGAGATTCCAAAGAAATTTCGTAGATGCTTTCTAGTTTCTAGATGGTGTCAGAAATTTTACATTCATGCTCAGACCCATTCTTCTTCTTTTACAGTTCAAATATCACCACGTGAAACAGTAGAAAATTAGAAAATATTTGGAGAAAACATGCATCGGCGGATAGTCAAATTTACACCCTCAATATTGTAGGGGGGGAGTTAGCTTTTAAGTCCTTAACTACTGTACCTAAAACTTCATTGATAACAATAATAAAATGGAGTTAGTTCTTATCTTTTGAATCTCTTAAAAATTTTGAGAAAAATTTACTTAAAACTTTATCGTTTTAATAAATTATCCAAAGAAAAGATTAAAAATAATTAAATTCATATTTTTAAGATATGATATTTTAATTTTTTTTCAATGAAAATTTATTAAAATGATATCATTTGAAATAATTTTTCTCTTTATTTTTAAGAGATATAGTGGATGAATACTTTTCCTAAATAAAATTACATTCATACAATATTTTAAAGAAATCCTTATCTCATAGACAAGAAATTACAACCACAAATAATAGTTATTGTCCCTGGTTTGACTTAGCTAATCCAATTTGCCTTTTGCATAAAGTTTCACTATGGGTAGTACTCTAAATTTTTCTAAGCGTCTCATTTATGTGGAGGACTTAATTGGAATAATTTTAAATTTGAGGATGTAATTGGTTAGTTGTGAGAGAGTTGACTAAATTAAAAAGTAGATGAAATTTGGCAGTTTATGTGCCTAGGATTCGTAAGTCTAGGGGCTGTTTTGCAAAATTTTAAAAACTGATAGAAGGGCTGTCAGATTTGATAGTCTAGATTCTTTAACTTAGGAGGGTAGTATAATGAACAGTGTGGGTAATGGTAAGGTAAAGGCTATGAAAGACTTTGTTTCTAAGGAGAATTTGAAACAGGAAGAGAGGTAGGATATTAGCGAGGAGCTAGAAATCACCCTCGTGAATTGATGAAGCCTTGAATCACGAGAAATAGGAAGGAATTATCTGTAGTGAACTACAATAAATCTTGAGAAAGCGCCTTAATGGGCACTTTTAACAACACTGCTAGGGAGAACCCTAGGCAATACAAATTTATAATTTATTGGTTTTAATTATACTCACATAATTTAACATCTTTTAATTTTAATGAAACATTTTTTCGTCTACACTTAAATAAATAAACTCATGCCAATAAAGTCTAAGATTTTAAAAGTAAAGATCTCGAAGCATAAACCTTATCTCTTATAAAAGGTGAGCTTTCTTTCTTTATACATACTTTTCCTAATTTGATAGTGGAGTTATGGTTAACATAAAACAATAATATTATATTTATAATATTATATAAGATTGTAAATTTATAATCATAACATGTAATTAAATGAATAAATGTGTATAATATTATGATTACATCTATAAGTAAAAAAAATCAATTATTTAATGATATATTTTATTTTAAACTTACAATATTACATAGTATTATAGCTATATATATCATTTTCAAACATAAAAAAGTACTCATTTTTCTCATGGCAATAATATTGTTATAATACCATGTAAAATTATAATCTTATTGTTATAATACCATGTAAAATTATAATCTTGTAATAATCATGATGTTTCATGGTAAATCCAAATAGTATTATAAATGAATCTTTAAATGAAAGAATCTATCATACAATAACACATTACAATTGTAATCTTACAATATGTATATTACCTAAAATTGTAAATATCTTATTTTTATTTTTCTCATCTCAATTTAACATAAAAAATAATAAAATAAAAAAACCCTCCCTTGCTTCCGTTTTGGTATGTTTTTAAAATTTTCCCCTTTTTTTAAACATTGAAAATTCGGGGAAGGGGATTTTTTACTCTACAAGGATTTGAACCTTGGTCTTATCCAAGCGGAGGTATATGGTGCCCTTGCCACTGCAACTGCACAGAGGCACTGCATTTGCTTGTTTCTGGTGTGTTGTGTTGTGTTGGTACTATATGCACGGAACATCTCTGAGTCTCGGAATTCATCATTAGCGAAGTCGGAGAAAAATTGCACGGAATCACGCGTAGCAATTGGGCCACCCTGATAGTTTTAATTCAAATACAGCCACGAAAACTCCATTTAAATCTTCCCCGGATTGTACTAGAGAAGTTCTGTTAACTGGAATTCTCTTTTTAGTTGAATATATGTGAAGAGTACTTTTGTGTCGATTTGAGTGATTTTCTGAAGCCTTTCTGGTGGTGCAGTGAAAGCTTTTTAATTGCTGCGGATGCATCAATGGCTGCTGCTTCGTCCTCGCAGCCTGTCCGCAATCCCCAAATGGAACGTTTTGGGTTTCAGGGAGCAGGAGACGCAACACCGAAATCTCTAGAATCGCAATCTCCGGCAACCCTTTTGGTGCGGCACCTTCCGGAGGCCATTCCTCATGACACCCTCTCACGGCTTTTCTCTCATTACGGTGCTGCCTCCGTTCGTCCTTGCTCTAGTGGAAGGTAAACCAAGTCTCAAGATTTTCTTTGTTTCATTATTAACTTCATTCTAGCAAGCATTTACAGATTTAAGATTTTGCATTTTGGGTTATGTTTTTGATGTTATATAGTCACAGAAAGATCAATTAATACTAAGTAATGCCTCTTGTTTGATGCAGATTGAGAAACTGTGCATTTGTGGATTTCGAAGGTGAAGCCTTGGCTGCTCAAGCTCAACGTCAGTTAAGTGGGTAAATTTTAACTTAAATAACCTTTTTCATCTTTTTCATCAATTAGCTACAACACCCTTGGTACTGGCATTGGCACCAATTAGAATCCTCCTATTTGTAGTTTCCATTTTAATATTGTGGTTTGTTCAATTAGTTTGCTTTCATTCATCAATGATACACTGAAAGTAGTGGTGAAGCCATTCTCTATCTATGGTTGCTTAGGCTGAGGTTTCTTGGCAAAGTTTTGTTGGTGGAGAGAGCTAATAAGCCAAGTGGTGATAATAAATCTCAACAACTTGGGAAGGATTTTGCACAGCCTGCACCATTGGTGAAGGATTCTAACTTGAGCAGAGGTGCCAATGAAGATTTGAGATCAGGGTTCCTACTTGGTGCTGAAGCGATTGCCCCTAGACTTGGTGTGGACTACCCTTTTCCTCCTTACCTTGAGTTAGTATATTCCTCTCATCCTTTCTTCTACTTTTCCTTTTAATTCTCTTGATGCATGATATAGAGTGTTGAAAATTTTGAAGCAAACTATTATTCCCCTTGCTTTCATTGCCTTTCATGGATGGTTCATCATTGAGGCAATGTTAGCTTGTGTCATTTTAGTTGTTACTTGTTACATGCTTACTCAACTCCACAAAAGTTAAAAACATAAAACAATACAAAGAGAGATGTTTTATGTATATTTTAGACCGAAATTTTGTAGATATGGACCACACCTCTCTAGTGAGAATTATGTCAAGTGCTTGGTTTGGATATCCATAGATGTGTGGGAGATAGTCTTAGTAAAGGCTCTATAATATGGATGCATGTGTACATTCTGCAGATTTTCAATTCTTCCATCTCATACAGTCTCAGGGTTTCTTGTTTCTTTCCGAGACCCTTAAATGTTTAAGTTACAACTAAACGGTGAGGTGTTATGGAATCATAGTGCATAGGGTTATTGTTTCTAAAGTTTGGTTATTCCAATCAATGCAAAATGTTTTTTGAAGATCTATAAAATATGATTTAATAGAATCAGTTTTACAAATGCTTGTATTGTACACATTCTGATTCTTCCATCATAATTGTTCGTTTACAGAATGGGGCTTGTGTCTTGTTTACATTCTAGTTTGCTGTTGTTACAGGTATGCTTACCCTCAACCAGATGGAAATATTCTGACCAACATTGTAAATGCTCTTATAGCTGTTCCTCGTTTTTACACCCAGGTATTCCAAATACATCGTGTGAAGCTATTGGTTATATAATCTTTTCTTAATATGTGAATAAAATTATAAATTTTACTTGATTTCAATCTAATAAATCATTATGCAGACATATGTTTACAAAAATTACCTTTCAATTTCAGGTATTGCACCTGATGAATAAAATGAATATTCCAGCTCCATTTCGAATGGCCTTGCCCACCCCACCCCTGCCACCTTCAGCACCTGCTCCACAGCCACCACCACCACCACCTCCACCTCCTGCTCCTATTGCTGCAAAGCCTTCTGTGGCAGATCTGTCTAGCAGTGAATCAGAAATGGAGTCCTCAGATGAGGTATGATTTCCCTTCTAACTTTTTGCAAGTCATTAGCCATATAACAAAGGATCTTTATAGAAATATATATGCCTACAAGGAAATTCTGTGTTTAATTTTATATGGCTGCTTAGCAGATGATATTTCATCTTTGACTGTAATCTTCTTAGGAGGTTAAAGAAAAAGGCATAATGGAATCTAGACGGAAGCGTGCGAAGCGAGAATCTATTGTAGGCCCTGCTATTGACAAGACTGTGGCTCATGAGGCTGTTGGAGTGAAACCCGCTACATTGGTCCCCAAAGAAATACCTTTGATTAAAAAGAAAAATCCTGTATTACAGGTGCCACTCAAATCTTAAGGGATTTTAATTTAGTATCATCTTTGTTCTTTCAGAATCTTTTATGATCTTCTGTTTGTTTTGTAACAGATAAAAATTGCCCCTAAAATGGTTCAGAGTGAAAAGAGAGATGATAGCCAGCACCAAGAAATTTTAGAGGAACCAGTTGAAGAGGTTTCAGATTCTAAACACTTTGCAACCCCAGAGGAGTTGGAAAAGGGAAAGTTGCCTCCTGAAGAGATTCTATCTCTTCCAATGTTTAAGGTAACAGAACTGAGTGGAGTAGCTATTTGAAAGTAAATTGGATGTGCAGTGATTTCATGGATTGTTTACTGATCTATCAGAAAGAAAAGAAAAAAGCATGAAAACCAATCTTCTGCTTGCTGGGTGAACACCATTTAATAGTATTTTTTAACTTCAATAAAGGAATTGTAAGTTTTTATGACAGCCCTGATATAGAGATATGATGAAATCCAATTCAGTTTTTTTCTTGGTGTGTAATTTGGCTATACAGTTTCAGAAGAAATGGCTCACTAATATCTATTATGTGTGTCAATTCAAATGAATCAAACTCATCTGACATATTCAATTAATAACTGTGTTGGATTGTGCAGAATTATGCAGCAGGCAATCCTGCTTCAGTGTTGTACATTAAAAACTTGGCAAAAGATGTTGTTCCTGATGATTTTTATTTCATCTTTGGTAAGACCAACTACCTTCATGCTTGTTTCATGTCAATTGTAATCTTTTAGCAACTCAATGCCTGTAATTAGTGGAAATAGTGAGGCATAATTTTATAATCTTAGAAATAGGAAAAGTTGCACATTTTTTTCTTTTTGGTGCTGCATATAAGCATTTGAGGTTTTTTTTTTTTTTTTGTCCAAAATGCGCAAACAACCCATTTGTGGTTTTGGGCAAGTGCACATAACCAGCTAAGGTTACATGAGATGTCTTTAATATCCTTGGGTTTCTTTTCTTCTTCTTACTTCTAGGTTAGGGGCATTCAAAACATTTCATGTAATCTCAAATAGTTATGTGCACTTAGTTTAACCCTTAGGTTGTTATCTGCATGCTTTCAAACTTAAGGGCCTATTTGCATCAACCCAGAACCATTAGTAGGTTTATGCACTTTCTGAAACCTCAAGGGGCAATTTGCCCTAGAAAATATTTCCTTTTTTCTCTCAAAAATCTTTTAGTGTAATGGAGGAACTAGATGCTTCTGTTATATTTTAAATGTTGAAACATTTTTGGCTTATTATCTCTACTCATTAATTATCTGTAGGATCATTGTTTGGAAGCTTTGATGCAGCCAAATCTGGTCTTAATGTAAAGCTAATGCAGGTGAGATAATTTCTAGGTTAAACTTTCTTGTTTAAGTTCATTACCATAGATCTTAATGCAAAATGCACTTCTCTCATACATCTAGCAATCTCTTTTTCGTTGATTTTAGTTTTCTCTTGATATTTTCTTTTTAAGTGAGAGTGCTATGGGACCTTTCTGTCTATTGAGAAGAAAATTACAAAAATGATCCCAAGAGCATGCTTGTTGCTTACATTACTCATAAGGCAACTAATGCAATGGAACCCTGTATCCTTAGCACCTTGGCAGATTAGTCTGGTGCCAAGGCTCTGATGTATGTTTTGTTTTTATGGTCTACTAATTTGTTGAGCCTTAGAAAGTCATTTGTTTCTTTTCTTGTTTGATAGGGGTTTGGGCCGTTTGGCAAAATTATATGAATCAAAAGGCATCATGCATATTTAGGGATTTGGCATTTCACTGGGTTGACAGGATAAAATAAAATGAGAAAAGCAGAAGTCCATAGGAATCATGTGTTATCTTTTTCTCTTTTTTTTGTCCACCAACTGGCCAGCTTTCTAAAACCACAAATCCTTTCCTTGATTTATGATACTGTCTCTCCCTCCCTCTTCACCCTCTCCCAATTCACAGAACATTATATAGTTGTTATCCTGGTATTCTTTGTTCTAGAATACCTGTACGATGAATGCACTCAGGAGCTAAAGCCAGTTTCGTTAAGAAAGAAAGAAAAAAAGAATATCGGACGGCACCAGAATACCTCATGTATGTAATTATGGAAAATTGATTCTTGTTTGCTTGGAAGATCTGAATTACCTACAGGGCAAAGAGATATAAAGAATTTTGCCTATTCTGAATCTGAAAGCAGTTTTAACCTTTGCTCTTCAGGAGGGAAGAATGAGGGGGCAGGCTTTTGTCACATTTCCATCCATTGAACTTGCACATCATGCTTTGGTATGTTTCAAAAACTTCTAGTCTTTATTTTTTTTATCCCCTTGTCCTGGGAATAACTCAATAAGTTGGGTTGTGCATATGGTGTATATGGTAATGGTTGATCCTCTATTCGTTCTATTCATCAAGATTTAATCAATCAATCTAATCATCCTAGGAATAATTTTAAAGCACTAGGAAATTGAAATGATGTATCAAATCATTGAACAACCCCACCCGAAAACAAGGTGTGGAAGAATTAGAAGTAGATTAGTTTCCTTAGTTATTATGTATACTTTGTTATGCAATGAAACAATATTTGAAAATAGCCAATAATTTGGAACCTTAGGTCTAAATGTTACACCAGTAACAAGTATGATATGTGCAACCGTTTGTGTTCTTAAACTGATGTGACTATTTCTTTATCTTCTTACGTCCTCAAAGGGCAATGATAACTCATTCAGTCTGCATTTACTTCCTTTTTGTCAGAACCTAGTGAATGGTTATGTCTTCAAAGGCAAACCAATAATCATCCAGTTTGGCCGGAATCCTGGAGCAATAAAAACAAATTGAATTGTTGTGTCAAGCTCCTCATAGCACCCCTGGCGTGTTCAGCTCATTGCTGACGTTTCCTTTCTCATATTGTTGAGCAAGGTCCTCTGTATTGATGAAAACTCAAGCCTGCAGTTGTAGGAGACCCAAGAAGAAGTCTATTAAATTATTTTATTCTTCATTGACTGTACTTGGATATGATGAGTTTTGGAGAGGATTCATTGCAAATGATGAATATTGTTGCTCTGCAAGTTGATTCCTAAGAAGTCTATATTTTTAGAAATGCCATTTGGGGGGAAACACAGGGTTTTTGAATTTAGTTCAGGTAAAAATCCTTTTACTGGATAAGGGGAAAGTCTTGACAAAGAGATCTTTTGCTCTTGTGACCGGCGCATCTCCGCTATTATGCAATATGCATTGTGTTGCTAATTTTTGGATTTTCACTGGTATTGCTGGTTTATATTCTAGTGTTGCTGACTTAAACTTCTTGTAAAGGTCGTCTATACTGTTGCTCTACAA